CAATACGTTTCAGGGATGTGAAGCCGTGAACCTTAGTTATATACGGACAAATAGGAACAGTGTTTTTATATATATAAACATACGTGGCTATATTAAAATGTATATTAAAGATGGCTTACTTATAAGAATATATATATTTAAGTATAGTACAGTGTTTTATTAACGACACAACAGGAGTAACTATATTTAAAATGCTTAATTAGTCTGTTAAATACTTAATCTGAAACTAAAAATTAAGGTTAGATATCTACGCGAATTATTTCTACTTAAGCGTAGGTTAATTTTTGTTGTCTTATGTAACTGAAAAAATTAATTTTCTTTTAGTCTATTTTCTTTTTATCACATTCTATACTATTTAAAGTAGATACAAAAACAAGTTTCTTCTCTGTTAATATTTTTAAAACTTAAATATCTTTTATTAAATTTTAAATTTTTAAACAATTTGCTTTCACATGTCCTCTAAAGTAGAATTTTTTTTTTTAACCAGGTTTTCCTTCTTTCGATAATATACATTTTGCAATTTTTTTTTTGTGGCTCTGACTTAATAATGAGTTTTTACTTTTATTTCATCTGTTGAGTTTTGGTTAAGAAAAGAAGAACAAAATAAACTTAAGTTCTATATGAAACTCATTTTTAATGTAAACATGAAAAACAATAACAAAACAAAACATTAGATTATGATTAAGGTTTACTTTATATATATATATATATATATATATATATATATATATATATATATATATATATATATATATATATATATATATATATATATATATATATATATATATATATATATATATATATATATATATATATATATATATATATATATACATGTAAACATTTTAACGTATACATTTTGTAAACATTTATATTCAATCAAACTTATTTGATAAGAGAGTTTACTGTTTTATTAAAAAAAAAAATTTTTTAAACTTTAAAATTTTTGAGCATTTACTAAAATATTATTTATGTTATGCTTTTAGTTTTGAATTTATTTTCCTGACCACAAACCATATCAATTTAGAGGGTAATTAAATTAAAATTATATTTTTTAATAAACTTAATAAACCAAAATCAAAGGCAGCTCTTCTAAAACTAATCCCTGAATATGCTCATGCATACTCTACAGAATCTTAAAGAACCTTTAATGAGCGATTTATATTCTTTAGATAAAAAAACTCTTAATTACACAGAGTTGCAATCTTATTGTGAATCTATTTATCCTAGTTTAACTTTAACAACTGAGCAAATAGTTAAAATAGAAAGTTTGGCACGATTACAATCGAGCTCTAGTTTTTGGCACCAATTTTGATGTGTGTCGCGCTCACTAGCGCGGCAATGACTTCTTGTTATTTGTGTTATATTGTCAGCGGTTAATCCCACGCTTTCTCTCTAACTCTTACTCTGCTTCTACGCGAACGTTGTAACTTCTAGAGCACGTTTATACATTACTGTACATTATTATACGAGAATATATTAGTATACATATTAAAACAGTATGGTTTGTGAATGAACCACACAATTTGGAGCCCATGGAAAATAAATATTGACATTTGAATACAAAGATTCAAAAGATTTAAACAGATTAAAAGATTAAAGAACAAGAAAAAAAAGTTAAGTTTTATTTACATTTATTTACTATTTACTTGTTGTTATAATATAATAACAATTTACTATTTACTTGTTATTATAAATTATAATACTTAGGAGTATTGTATTAAGTATTAAGGAGTATTAAGTGAATATTTTGAGCTTATCATTGTATCGAACATTTATCAAGTTATTAAATTAACAACCATTAAGATTTAAGTAAAAATACTTAATATTTGTCACTTAGTAATTATTTACCCAATCAGGAAGGATTTGGGACATTAACGTTTTGCAAATAAGTATCTGTAAGTTTTATTTTTCAAAAAATGTCAACTATTTAAGGCAAACGTAGAATTAGAACAGTTAACATAAAACTTTTAAACAAATTATTCGAAAAATCTTTAGAAATTATTAACAACACTGACGATGAAAACCAGTTTAGTAACCTTAATGACTTAAAAGACACTTTAAACGAAAAATACAATAAAGTCATCCAATTGGATGAAGAGATAACCTTACTGATTGAGGATGAAGACGAGTTAGAAAACGAAGTAGAACCTTCTACAGAATTTAATCTAGTATTCAAAAATGAAATTTCTAAAATTAATAAAGAGTTGAAGAAATTCGACATTAAAACTGACTGCAATAGTACATTTAGTAACTTTAAAAACAAGACAGTAAAATTACCTGTTTTAAAATTAGATAATTTTGATGGAGAACCTGAAAAGTGGACATCTTTTATAGAAAATTTTGAATGTGCTATAGATATGAACAATGATCTGTCAGGAATTCAAAAAATGACTTATCTTCGAAACTTGCTAAAAGGTTCAGCTTTGTCATCTATTTCAGGTCTCAGTTTATCCAATGAAAACTACAAAGTAGCTTTAGACATCCTTAAGGAGCGTTATGAAAATAAGCAGAATATGATATCATCCCACATGAGAAAACTACTGTCATTTGAAAGATTGCATAGTGTAAATAAAACTGAAAAATTAAGACATTTATTAGATATTATAGACATACAAATAAGGAGCCTCGAAACTCTTAAAAATACAAGTGAAATGTATAGACCATTACTTGTTCCGATTATACTACAGAAAATACCTGAAGAACTGAACTTAATTATAAACAGACAACTTGATAAAAACAGTTCATGGGATGTCTTAACCATCATTAACATTTTAAAATCAGAATTACGTGCAAGAGAACAAGTCTCATTAAATTTAAATAACAATGTTGATAAAACTTATACAACTGAATCATTTTTTACAAGTAACAATAACAATGAAAAATCAAATTTTAATAGAAACCCTCGTCAATTTAATTACAGTAAGAAAGCTAAAGAAAATTCATACTTTGATAGAAATAATCCAACCAATATACCACAATTTATCAAGTGCCTTTTTTGTGACAGATCACATAAATCACAATACTGCAAATTCATAACAGACATTCAAAATAGAAAACGAATAATTAGTGAAAAACATCTGTGTTTTAAATGTTTAGGAAGTGGTCATACATCAAAGAATTGTAAATCTAGTATCAAATGTTTTAAATGTGGTAATCAGCATCATATAGCACTTTGTCTAGAAAAACAGAATAGTGAATTACAAAAAGGTGAACTAACAGCCATTTCAAGTAACAATAATCAGTCCATTTTACTCCAAACTGCTTCCACTGATGTATTTGACATAAATGACAGATTACATAATTGCAGAATACTTTTTGACAACTGTTCGCAGCATAGCTACATATCACCTGATTTGTGCCGCAAATTAAAACTTGAATGTGTAGGAAAAAAGAATATTAACATTAAAACATTTGGAAATAATAGCAGTAGAGAAAATCTAGAAAAAGTTGAGTTAAAAATTAAATGCTTATTTGGAAAAGTTATAAAAATTAACTGTTATGTAAAAGATATTTGTGCGCCTCTCAATGGACAATATATAAATCTTGCTAAAAAGAAGTATAGACACTTAAATAATTTAAGACTAGCAGATAGTAACTTGCAAAACGGAAACTTAGGGATTGATGTTTTGATTGGGGCAGATTATTACTGGCTATTTATTGAAAATTCTATTATTAGGGGAAATTATTTTGATCCAATTGCCATTAAATCTAAGCTAGGTTATTTATTAAGTGGTCCTATTAATGTTAATAATATGTTTAACAATAAAAATTATAATTGTTGTGTAAATACAGCTCATGTCATGTTTGTTGAATCAAGTTCATCTCCCAAATCATTAATTAAAGAATCCATGACATCTGTATGGGGTGTTAGAGAGATGAATGAGTGTAACTATGAGGTCATTGATAGGTTTCGTCACACTATTAAATATGATAATGCCCTCAAACGCTATAATGTTAACTTGCCCTTTAAAAAAGATCATCCTTCACTTAGTGATAACTTTGATTTATGTATCAAGCGTTTTAAAGGTCTTCAAAAAAAATTGAGTAAAGATGATTCTTTACTTAAATTATACAATGACATTTTTAAAGAACAATTACAGAACAGCATTATTGAACGAGTTATTGATAAAGACCAATTTGAAAAAGTACACTACCTACCGCACCAACCAGTTCTGAGAAATGACAAAGTTACTTCTAAAGTCAGAATTGTCTTCGATGCAAGCAGTTCTGTTGATGGCCCTTCATTGAATGACTGTCTCTACCCTGGACCATCTTTAACCACATCTTTATTTGGAATCCTATTGCGTTTTCGTGCCCAAAAAATTGCCTTTGTAGCAGACATTGAAAAAGCCTTCTTGCAGATTACATTATCTCCTGAAGATCGCGATTACGTCCGATTTTTGTGGTTCGAGAACATTAACGCACTTAATAAAGACAATATATTTATTCAAAAAATTATTCCATATAGAATTTGCAGAGTTCTGTTTGGCGTTACATCTTCTCCCTTTCTTCTTTCTGCTACACTCATTACTCACGCTGAAAAGTACCCCTCTGATGATCCTATATTTGTTAATAAATTAATGAATTCTTTACATGTCGATGATCTGAACTCAGGAGCTGACTCAATTGACTAAGCCATTAATTTTTATCAAAAATGTCAAGATCGATTAAAAGAAGCTGGCTTTACTCTTAGAAAATTTGAATCGAACTGCTAACAACTTAAAAACCTAGTTAATGAACAAAATTTTACCTCCTTTAATCTTACTAAAGTATTAGGCTTATTATGGGATAAAAAAGAAGACAACTTAATCTTTGATTTTAGAAACTTGACACACAATGATGACTCGATTCCAACAAAACGTAAAGTTCTTCAGTTTATTGCAAACATTTATGACCCACTTGGTATAATTAATCCATTTATAGTCAAGAGTAAAGTATTCTTTCAAAAACTATGTATCAAAAAACTTAATTGGGGCAAGCCTCTTGTGGGAAAAATGTTATTGGTGTGGCAAGCCACTATCAATGACATTCAATCCTCTAAACCCATTATCATTCCTAGGTGGTACAATAATAATTATTCAAATCATGTTGTTGACTTGTCATTGCATGGATTTAGTGATGCCAGTAATATAGCATTTGGTTGTTGTATATACTTGTTGTGTTCCTTTGATGATGAGCACAAAATATGTTCACTTATAACTGCTAAGTCTAGGATTGCCCAAATTAAAAATACCTCTATTCCCCGACTTGAATTAAAGGCAGCCCTATTATTAGCTGAAACTATGTCAACTGTTAAAAGAGATTTATACCCTGTACTTAAATTTAAACAAATAGTCTGTTGGTGTGATTCTACTATAGTATTACAATGGATCATATTCGTTCAAAGAGCAATAACTACTGATAAAAATTTTAAGCAACTGCAACTAGACCTAAAATTAAAAAATATTTATGAGGGAAATAATTTATATAAAGTTTAGATATTTTTATTTACATCTGCTACTCCACGTGCTTTGTTTTTAGATCTTGTTCCGGACACTTCTGCTGAATCATGCATAAGAAGTTTACGGAGATTTTTTGCGAAACGTGGCACACCTTCCAAAATCCTCTCAGACAATGGATCACAATTCACCTCCAATCTTACTCAAAACTTTACTTCATCTCTCGGTATCACGTGGCATTTCAACATCCCCGCTGCTCCGTGGTGGGGAGGGTTCTTTGAACGACTAGTTGGATCCACTAAACGCTGCCTTCGCAAAATAACACATAAAGATCAGCTTTCATACAAAGAACTGTTAAGATTTCTTGCTGAAGTAGAATCAATATTGAACAATCGACCAATCACGTTTATGTATGAATCACCAGGAGACTTACCACTTACACCCAATCATTTAATATATGGAAGATCAACTAACTTTAAAGGTATTAACGACAAAAATTATAAATTAAACTTGAACACCCGAAGTACATACATAGAAGATACATTAAATCATTTTTGGCAAAGATGGGAAAAAGAGTACCTAACCGAACTTAGAGAATTCCACAAATGTAAGCAAAATAGAGGAACAAATAAAATAGCCGTCGGCGACGTTGTACTGATTCACGACTCAGACACCAGACGAGGTAATTGGAAGACAGGCATTGTTCAGAGCCTTAGTAAATCATCTGACGGACTCATCCGTGCTGCCAAAGTTAGATACATTATGAATGGAAAAACAATGTACATTCAAAGACCTGTAAATAAACTGTATTTATTAGAAGCATTAGACGCCCCTATTGAAACAATGAAGATCAATTTCTGCGATGAAAAGGACATAAAACATTTCGTTATACATTAATTGGGGGCGGGAATGTCGCGCTCACTAGCGCGGCAACGACTTCTTGTTATTTGTGTTATATTGTCAGCGGTTAATCCCACGCTTTCTCTCTAACTCTTACTCTGCTTCTACGCGAACGTTGTAACTTCTAGAACACGTTTATACATTACTGTACATTATTATACGAGAATATATTAGTATACATATTAAAACAGTATGGTTTGTGAATGAACCACACAATGTGGTCGAATAACTGCATCTGTTATGAAAGATGTTTATCATTCTGATACTGAGAATTCTTCGCTATCAATTATTAAAAAAATATGTTATTTTTTTAAATTTCGAAGCATCGCTACTGATTGGGGAATTTCTCACGAAAAAACTGCTCGAGGAAAATATATATACCTTATGACTGCATTTCACGAAAACTTTAAAGTTCTTGATTCAGGCTTTTTTATTAATAAAGATTTTAGTTTTATGGGTGCGTGACCAGATAGTGTTGTTGAGTGTTCTTGTTGTGGATAAATATGTTGAGAAATTAAATGTCCACCTTAGAAACAACATATTACAAGATACAGTTGAAAATGAAAAAACTAGCTATCTTTATTTACAAAAAAGTGGTAAATTATTGCTTAAAAAAGACCATGCATATTATTATCAAGTTCAAACTCAACTTCTAGTTACTGAATATAAGTTCTGTGATTTTTTTGTATGGACAATGAAGGACCTTTTAATTCTTAGAATTTCTCGTAATGAAAATATGATAGAAAAAATTCTTAATCTATCGATGGAGTTTTTTAAAAGGGTTATTCTTCCTAAACAAATTTCTAAGTTTTATACCTGAACACATTGAAAGTAATATCTTATCATTTCAAGATAAGATTTGCTACTATCACATGAGTTCAAAAGACGATGATACGATTAGTTGTACTGATAAACATTGTAAAATTAGATGTTTCCATGTGAAATGTATGAAAATTAAAAAAATACCTAAAGGCAATTGGTTTTGTCCAGAATGCAGACGAAAAAGAAACATTTTAAAAGTAAAAAGGAAACTTGCTGCAAAAGCAAATAATTCTATATTTTATTAACGATTTTACATTAATATATATACAGTCGACTCTCGATATCTCAAACACTAAGGAGACCGGAAATAAAGTTCGAGATATCGAGAGTTTGAGATATCAAGAAAAGGGTTGAAAATAAATAAAATTGCCCGACTTTCATTAAAACAAGTTATTTTTCTGACAAAAATCATTAACAACAAAAACTACAACTTTTGGAAAAAATCTGTTATCTGATATTGCTTTAAATTATCCATCTTTTCCATCTTCATTAAATCCTCAAGTTTTAGTGCTAGGGATTGTATTTCATTTCCGTATTTTGAGCTGTATAACGAAGCATATTAAATCGTTTCAAAAGCAATTTCTAATTGATTATCAGATGAGCGTGGCGGGGCTTCGACGTCAATAGCTTCTTCAACGCTATCTTCAACTTCATTATCGTCGTTTTCAAAATTAGGGTCTAAAATCTGAGCAATGATTTCAGCATCAGTAGCAAGTGAACCGGTGGTTACTACATCGCAGTCTAAACCAATGTAAGATTCCGCTGAGAGATCTTCTTGGACGGCACGAGGAACTAACTCTAGCAAACGGTTAAGTTCTTCTGTCAAAAATTTAAAAGGATGATCATCATCAGCTTCATCAATACTCTTGTTTGTTTTGCTGATACCAGCTTTTTTAAAGCAGTTGATGACAGTCTCGTTTGACACAGCATTCCACAAAGAAACAAGATCTTTCATTGCTTAAAGTATAGAAATTTTTGGCATGGGTTCGTTATTATCGACAGCCTTGATACACAAACGCAAAATTTTGTGACGATAATGAGCTTTCAGACTTCGTATTACGCCTTGATCCATGGGCTGAAGGACAGATATGGTGTTAGGGGGGGGGGGAATATTAGGTTAATGTTACTTAGCCCTTCAATGTGTGGATATGCAGAACAGTTATCCACCAGGAGTGCTACTTTCCTGTCTTGAGCACGAAAAATGAGTCAAGTTTCATTACCCATTCTGTAAAAAGGTCTCCCGTCATCCAACTTTTTAGCTGATTTTTATATGTGCAAGGAAGTTGTTTAATGTGCATAAAACACCGTGGATTTTTAGATTTTCCAATAACAAACATAGGTAATTTTTCTCCCGTTGCACTCCCTGCTGCTACGCCTGTTAGTCTGACATTTGTTATTTGTTTATATTAAAATTGAACAAGATTTGACAAAATTTAAGTGACCTTTCTTTCCAATTATGAAACCAACAATCAGATGTTTTAAAATCCAACTCTCCTAATGCTTCAGCAAACTTTAGTGCCTTTTATTTTAGTATGGTACCATCAATTGGTACTTGTTGACTTCTTTTTACAACGAACCACGTGTATATGGCCTTGTCTACATTTTTGAAATTACCACTACGAAGTTTCTTCCGTTTAGATTTTGTGCCATTTTTTTCCAGTGAGGTTAATAACTTGGTTTTATATTTAATCCAGGATGATAATGCGTTCTTTGGGACTCCATACTTTTTGGCAACCTTTTTGTTAGACATCCCTGTCTCTAGGTCTTTTAATACCTTGCATTTTTCTATTATAGATTTGTTCGTGTGTTTCTGTTTAGCGAGCGGCATATTGTTGCTTTGACAAAAAGAATAAATTAATATATTAAAGGAAAACTTTTCAGAATTTTGATTCTTAATAAAAATCGAATTTAAAAATCGAATTAAAAACTTTTTTTTTTCGAAAATTAGAATTTAAAAAAAACTAAATTTTTTTAAAACATTTTTGAAAAAAAAATTGTTAAAAAGTTCGAGATAACGAGAGAAAATTGCCCTGTGGACCGAAAATATTGTTCGAGATACCAAAAAGTTCGAGATATTAAGGTTCAAGATATCGAGAGGATTTTAGCCTAAACTAGTACGTTATGTCCATGGGAACTAAAAAAGTTTGAGATACTCATAACTTCGAGATATCAAGTATTCGAGATATCGAGAGTCGACTGTATATATATATATATATATATATATATATATATATATATATATATATATAATATATATATATATATATATATATATATATATATATATATATATATATATATATATATATATATATATATATATATATATATATATATATATATATATATATATATATATATATATATATATATATATATATATTTAATTTTTTCTTATATTATATTTACATATATAGATAAAGTTGTTTTAGGTTCACTTTTAGAACAATATGTTCATTAAATTAATATGTTCACATATTGTCATATTGTTATATAAATTAAATGCTAATTAAGTGCTACTAAAGACGCACATAAGTTAACTAAAGCACAGGCAGAATGAACACTTTTGTCTAATGTTGTATAAAATTCTCCTTCTTCAGTAAACAAATAGTCAATTGGTATTTTTTTGTTGAGAATTGAAAACTTTTGTCGCAGAGTACCAATAAAAAGCTCAACATGTATTTTAACGTTTGTTAATTGACGTGTTGTGATAACTTCAGAAGCAGTAAGCTGATCTTTCCCCCGTGTAAAAGCAGGATTTTCCAGGTGTGCTCCGAATGACCCTACAATATCATCAATATTAAAACCTCTATCAGCCATAACTATGTCCTCATAAGCAAGCTTATTCAAAAAACCAAAATTTTCCGTAATTACTTCAATTTCCGTAATTACTTCACGTCACTTGATCTACCGCCCCATTCATTTGAAATAAAAGTTATTGTACCTTGTGGGATTATACTAATCAAATATTTTGCAGTATTGTTGTGTGTATAAGATGACCATGTTAGGCATCTTGCTGTTTGGTTACTAGGTCTATCAATAAACAACTCAAAGCAATCAATAATACTCGTAATTTTATCTCCAAGTTTCCTTTTAAATGTAAAAGGCATAGTTTTCATTATTTCTGACCGTTCGGGCCTTATAATGAATGGTGATAGTTAATAAAAAGTACATTGATCATGTGAAGAAACAATCTTGAGACAGTTGTTTTTGAAACACGAAAATGGTGTGCAAGAACTATTGTTCCAGATCCCAAACGCAGTTTCATTAGACAAAAAACTACCTGACAAAACCTATTTAGAGTACATGTAATAACTGGACTATCTTTCACAAGTTCAGCCACAGCATATGAGGTGTTATAATCTGGTAAATCAGTGAAATATATGACTGCTTCAGTATTATTTTTAAAAAGTTGTTTAGAAATCAATGTTTCTGATGTATTTTATAAAATTTTTTGATTAAGTAAAGATTTATATTTCTCGTTTAACATCCTGATTTTATCATTCTATTTATCAACTATGTTTTCTTTACTGACTTCTGACTTTCTTGGCATAAATTGATTTCAATTTCTTTAACATCTAAAATAATAACAAACAAAAAATAAATAGGCACTTTTTAAAGTAAAACAAAATGAAATTTGATTTATCAGTTTCCTTAACAACTTATTAACTAAAAAGTACCTTTGTCAAATTTACTTCTTTTATTATCAATAACTTGATAAATTTGCATTGCTTTCCTTTTTTCACATCGTTTTAATCTATCTGCTTTTAATTCTAAATCACCTTTTTATTTCATTGACATCAACCCTCCTTCTCTACTGATATTGGAACCCAATCTGCAAAATATTTTTCAAATAGTTTTACTGACTTTCATAAAATATATAATACGTAAATAAATATACACAACATAAATAATAAAGAAGTCACTAAAACAGCTTTTATACTGATTTTATTTAAAATTTAAACAACCTATTTTCAAAATTTGTATACAGTATATACAGTATCTAACCGTTGATAAAGTGTTTTCCACAAGCTAGTAAAGTCGAACCAATTGTTGACAACTGCTTTTGAGATAAATTAGTTCTGTTTAATGAAGCTAACCATTTCGTTCTACGTTCCTCTGAAAAGGAGCGCAACTTTTCGTCATAATTAATAATTCCAGGAAGTCTGAAAAAT